ATGTTAAGATTTAAATATTATATTTACCATATGTTATTTAATTGTTATAAGTTAATAGTATTCATCATAAGGCTTACTATATACTACATTTAATGTTGCCCTTATAATTTTATATAGTCACACATGTAACATAAATAAAATTTATTTCTTTACTTATTTATTAATAATAATAATTTATTTATTTATAGCAAATATAATAATAATAATTTATTATTTATCTATTATTATCATTATTATCAATATTATTATTTTATATATTATTACTTTGATAATTATTACTATTATTTTTATTCGATTATTACATTTCCCTTCTCCTTATAAAATTTTGTCCTCAAAATTTAGACATACCTTCTAAAAAATTTATGGATAACTCTGTCGTAACTCTTTTTGTTTTTCCCATGTGGCTTCGTGCGGTGAAAGTCCTTCCCAACGTACTTTAATTAATTGAATTATCCTATTTCTCAGTTGCTTTAGATTTTTGTCAAGGATTTGAGCTGGCTTGGTACTAATAGTCAGATTCTCTTTAACTTGTACTGAGTCTATATCGAGAATGTGAGAAGGATCTGCGACATACTTTATAAGCTGAGAAACATGAAAAACACTGTGGAGATTGAAAAGATGAGGCGGAAGGGCAAGTTGGTAAGGAACTGACCCTATTTTTTGAAGTATTTGAAACGGACTAATATACCTAGGACTCAATTTTCTAACTTTGAAAGTTCTGCCTACACCTGTGGTAGGAGAAAGTTTAAGAAAGACATGTTCTCCTTCTTTAAAAGCCAAAGGTTTTTGCCTGTTATGAGCATAATTTTTCTGTCTGCTTTGTGCCTTTTCAAGGTTTTCCTTTATCATCTGAATTTGTCTCGAGGTTTCTTGGACTAATTTCGGCCCCAATAATTGTTTTTTCCTTTTTTCATACTAACACACTGGAGATCTACACTTTCTTTCATAGAGTGCTTTATATGGAGCCATTCCAATACTATAGTGGTAACTATTATTATAAGCAAACTCTATTAATGGCAAGTATCTATCCAAACTACCTCCTTTTTCAAGGATGCAAGCTCTCAACATATCTTCTAAAGTTTGAATGGTTCTTTCAGTTTGACCATCAGTTTGAGAATGATATGATGTACTAAGTCTCAACTTAGTTCCAAAGGCTTGCTTTAAATATTCCCAAAATCTAGAAGTAAATCTAGGGTCTCTATCTGACACAATACTTAGAGGTACCCCATGAAGTTTGCTAATTTCTTTTATATATAGTTGGACTAATCTCTCAATAGAATATTGAGCCCTAATTGGTAGAAAATGAGCAGATTTGGTTAATCGATCAATGATTACCCAATTGCATCATACCCCTATTGGGTTCTTGGTAAACCCATAACAGAATCAGTAGCTATACTTTCCCACTTCCACTCTGGTATGTCTAATGATTGAAGTAATCCTGAAGGCTTTTGATGTTCAATTTTCACTTTTTAACAAATTAAACATTTTGAAACATACTTAGCAATATCCTTTTTCATTCCTAGCCACCAAAATGTCTTTTTCAAATCTTGATACATTTTGGTGGAACTAGGATGAATCGTGAATTTACTGTTATGTGCCTCATTCAAAACTTCTTTCATCAATTCTTCCTTTTTAGGAACAACAATCCTTGTTTGAAATTTCACCAAACCATCTTCCCCTTTGGTAAATCCTTCCTGTTTCACAGATTTTTCTAAATCAAAATCTTCCTGTTGAGCTTTTCTAATTTTATCTATCAACTCATTATCTATTTTTATTTCACTAATACCTAAACTTCGAGACAAAACAGTCACAGATAATTTCATATCTCTAAATTTTTCCAACAACTCAATTTCTTTGACCATTAAATGTGACATGTGATGAGGTTTTCTGCTTAAAGCATCAGCTACTACATTAGCTTTTCTTGGATGATATTCAAGTTCAAAATCATAGTCTTTCAAAAAGTCCATCCACTTCCTTTGCCTCATATTCAATTCTTTTTGGTCAAATAATATTTAAGAGTCTTATGATCACTAAAAACCTCAAACTTGACTACATACAAATAATGCCTCCAAATCTTAAGGGCAAAAACTACTGTAGCCAATTCTAAATCATGAGTTGGATAATTTTCCTCATAAGGTCTCAATTGTCTTGATGCATAAGCTACTACTTTTCCTTCTTGCATTAAGACACATCATAATCCCTTTCTAGATGCATCACTGTAAATTTCAAATTTTCTAAAGGATCAGGGATTATTAAAATTGATACAGATGTCAATTTATTCTTCAAATCTTGAAAACAATCTTCACATTCTTGTGTCCAAACAAAAGAAACTCCTTTTCTAGTTAACCTAGTTAAAGGTAACACTAGTTGTGAAAATCCCTTAATAAATCTTCTGTAATATCCTGTCGTAGTAACGGAAAATATATTTAATAATAATAATGAATAAATAAAAATATTTGAGAAAATAAATCTATAAATATTAACTGGAATTGCTAACATCCTTCATTAATTATACATGGATGTAAGTTAGTACAAATATCTTACATTCTAATTATTTTACATCAGTTAAACACATATATTACATTCCTAACTACATCAGGTTAATTTGTTTATTCATTACATAATTCTCATTCTAGTCTAGCCTATAGGTGTAGGACTCCACACTGCCTGCATGCAATATGGCTGCTGCTCCTTGATTTTCAACTATTATGTAAAATTTCCAACGATCATCATAAAAATAAATATTTACAGTCCATCCTTCTCCAGAAAAAGATAAGTTAGGCATGATGGTTTTTTGGAAAGGTTAGCAAAAAATAAACAATGTGAGATAATTCTCAGTAATATTGAGATTTTTAAACTATAACAATTTCCAGCCGTAATAACAGAAAATATCAATCTCTCGAGTATATTTTATCATAAATATTAATATGCAATCTCGTAATATTTAACTAAAGCTAATTTAATTCCCAATTTTGTGGGTCTCCTGCATGTGAAAGGTTATGATATGACGGAGCTCAAGCCATGATAAGACGTCCCTTACCCTCAAACCTTCTGATCCCAAACTTTTGTGGGACACTTCACAACAGTATCATTAAGGTAAAATTTACACATTCTTTTAATATTCAATTGGTATCAAATATAAAAAAATTCAAAATTTGGAAAGAATCACGATAACATGACAAGTATAACAAAATTAAAAGAAAGATTAAGGTAAAACTATAGATGAAAACAACAACATATAACTTTCTAAATATATATATATATATATATATATATATATATATATAAATATAATTGAAAAGAAGAAAATAGAGAGAAGATTTTACTCTCTCAATATTACCTTGTTTTTATTATCTCTTCGTCTTCTTCACCTACGTATTACGTTCTTCTACGAAATTTTTTTTAACACTCCTTATGCAAATGACATTTGAAGTGCTGCATCATATATATATATATATATATATATATATATATATATATATATCTAAGTGTGCTGAATCACCCATTTCTTTTCTTTTTTGTTTTCTTTCTTTTCCTTTTTTTAATAATAAATAGTATTCATTTAATTAAAATAGTTATAGTATTGTTATTATTTTTAATTAATAATTTAGGATATTTAGTAATATTTAATTAGAAATAATTTAATGTGATTAAAAATTTTAAGAAATTGATTTAATATATATTTATTGATTAATATTTTTTACTAATATAGTTTATTTCCCTTATGATTTTAAACACATGGTTTTATTAACAGTTGTTAATAAATAAAACAGTACATATCTATTATAATTTATCTATCATTCAGTTAAATATTTTATTAACTAATCAATGTCTCATATTAATAGTCATATTAGTTATTATTTACAGTTAGTGATATAATATATATTTATAATGTATTCTTATATTTACATGTTAAGATTTAAATATTATATTTATCATATGTTATTTAATTTTTATAAGTTAATAGTATTCATCATAATACTTATCATATACTACATTTAATGTTGCCCTTGTAATTTTATGTAGTCACACATGTAACATAAATAAAATTTATGTAAAATTTATTTCTTTACTTATTTATTAATAATAATAATTTATTTATTTATAATAATAATAATAATAATAATAATAATAATAATTTATTTATCTATTATTATCATTATTATTTTATATATTATTACTTTGATTATTATTACTATTATTTTTATTCGGTTATTACGTTGTACAATCAAATTATATATGTAAAGGGGTTGAACAAGCTGAAAAAAAAAGGAGGTGACAACGAAGAATTTATTATAATTAGAGTTAAAATGTTAAACAATGTTTATGGTTACAATTTTTTTCTTATAAATTTTACTATTATGTTTCTTACAATAACAAAATAAGAAAATGTTTGTAAGGAAATTTTTTTATACCTAATCCCTCTCTTTACAATACACCTTGAGTCGCGCCTGATCACATGCACACAAAAAAGAAAGCTCTAGAAGGGAAATGCGGGCTGACTGTGTTGATTCCTACAAGGATTTAATAAGGATATGTTAGTTGCGATAGGATATATTGTGACACTTAAGTTATGTTACACCTATGTGACACTCAGTCAATCTCATCATTAGATCGCTTATGTTGATCGTCGATCCAACGGTTATATTTATTTTCATCTTTGTATGGTCATGATTTTCCAAATGTAATATTTTATATTTATTTCTACCTTTGTATGGTTATGATTTCCCATATTTAATGCTTTCACTTTAAATTTGGGAAATCATGACCATACAAAGATGAAAATAAATATAACCGTTGGATCAACATAAGTGATCTAACGGTGAGATTGACTGGGTGTCACATAGGTGTAACATAACTTGGGTGTCACAATATCCTATCCCATGTTACTTAGGAGGAAAAAGAAAAAAAAGGGTTTAACCTGAAATTAAAACTCCATTTTTGCTAATAAACCCTAATTAGCTTTAGCTTTCACTACCATCACCCGAGTCGAAGGGTTCGGCTAGGGTTGATTGGTTGGTCGCAGGAACAACCGCCAAGGTTCTCCTCTATACCGCCGAAAAGGACGTGCCCATAGTTGTCAATACACGTGGCACTCATTACATAAGCGCTTACGTACGCGTCTCTCGCTCTTCTCTTTTCTCCTCACCATTAGTCTTCTCTTTTCTCCCACATATTCGGTTAACTCATATCTTTGATTTTATTTTTATTTTTTTTGTTCATTTGCTTCCACATTCAACACTGTGAATTTTATTTTATTTTATTTATTTTTAAATAGATCAATAACCAATTGAGTCGTCCTTGGTCGTCGTTTACATCTAAACAGAATGGTGGATTCAGAGCGAATCCAAAATCCATGGATGGCTTCGGAGCAAACTGCAGTACAAATGAATGCCCAGCCTTCAGATTCCACGAAATGCTTTTCTCCTCCGCCGCCGCTGCAATCATCCGATAGTTATAAATTGGGAATTGGAGAACGAGCTTTCTCTGCTGCCGGCGCCGCCGTCCTCTCCGCCATCATTGTCAATCCCCTCGATGTTGCCAAGGTGCGTTTATTCAGAAAGTCAGGGAAGAGAAAGAAGCATATATTCGGCTGTAATTTCTTAATTTTTTTTTTAATTCTCTTAATTGTTCATTCGACGTGAGGTTATGAGACCTCAACGTAGTTAGGAGTGGAGGAAGGGTATATTGTTATTGATTATCAATGAATTGTCCTTCTGAGTGTCTGGAATGCAGTTTTATATGTTTTAGTATTCATATAATTGAGTTCATGCCAATACTTCAATACTTAACATGTGCTAATCCTTAATATGCATTTTTTTTTTTTTTGAGATTAGATTAGTTATTTATCTTCTTGTTATTCTTATTTGTTTTCCCCAATTTATCAGACAAGGTTGCAAGCACAAGCTGCAGGGGTCGCTTATTCTCATCCACTCAGTAATATGACCGGTCGTATGGCATGTTTTGGGCCAAATATGGTATGTGTGTACTGTGTACTGTGCAACAAAATTTTGCCCATCTACCCCTTGTGAAAACCTGTTATGAAAATCATTATTCCCCCAAATTTCTGTATCTGTATATATAGTTGTTTTGTCAGCCACATAACAAACTAATGCAATGTAGGGTTTCTTTGGAGAGATTGCATGGTTAAATGAAACAATGAATCATTTTGAAGGCCAATTTAGTTGTTTACAATACATGCATAAAAAAATTTAGTCTTTTAACCAGCATATTTGAGCAATTTATTTGACCTTTCCAATATTTTTCCTCAGATGTTTGCTGATTTAAGATGTTCTCCGTCATGTACTCGGGCTGGAATCCATGGCACAGTATCACTTTGTCCTCCGGAGTGTTTTCGGTACAAAGGAACACTGGATGTCCTCTACAAAATTATTCAACAGGTTGGTGGTTTAATATTATAGATATTAAATTGGTTGAAGCAGTCGTTTTTTGTTCTGAGTACATCTGCGCTTGAAGCAGCGATTTACATGTATTACATTTACAAACATTAACACATATTAATCGATTCAAGAGTGGTATTGCAGGAAGGGTTTTCCATGCTATGGAGAGGCACAAATGCAGGCCTGGCACTTGCAGTACCAACTGTAGGTTCACAATTCAATCGACAGTGATTCATTGTTTAACTATTGGACATTATATAATGAGAGCACAGGAATTGACTGACCTATTTTTTTGTATACATTAATCAGGTAGGAATTTACCTTCCGTGCTATGACATATTCCGCAACTGGTTGGAAGAATTCACGACCAAAAGTGCTCCAACCACAACTCCATATGTACCTTTAGTGGCTGGTTCATTGGCACGCTCACTAGCTTGTGCAACTTGTTATCCTATTGAACTTGCCAAAACTCGCATGCAGGTATTAAGATAATCATCCATATTGCTTGCTTTACGTACTGGAACTTGAGCATCTGATGTATTAAAGTGTTGCCTTTTGGATTTCTATTCATGAAGTGCAATGCCTGTTTAAGTCACAGTTATGTTCCTTGCTATTTTGAATTGATGTATGTCCGTGAGCAGGGCCAACCAGCAATTCGAGGCCGATTTTTAGCTTATTAATTGCTTCTGTTGGTTTCAAAGCGCATGGTTTATGTTGTTCAATTTATTTCACAAGTACCAAGTTAATGTTGCCATGGTATGTCATAGTTCAATACCATTGTACAACATTTGTCTTCAAATTATGATTTTGGCTTATTGTTACAGAACTGTATTGTGGTTCGATTTTTATTTGTTTATTTATTTTGGATACTGGATACATTAAGTTGTTTGTCCTTTAGAGATGTACTTTGTTCTACTGTAATTCATGTGTTTTGCTTTCTTCATTTAATTGATCCTATTGGTATTGCTGTGGATTTTGTTATTTGTTTTCAGGTAGAAATGTTAGCTTTATTTCAAATGCCTCAAGCTTTCTCGATTCTTGGTGTTTTTTAGAAAAGCCATGTTTACATCTTTTCATTGCTTTCCAGCAATATTTCCTATTCCACAAACTTTGTAGATTCTTGTTAGTTTTTGGACAATTCTTAGGTTTTCATTTATCCATGATGTAGGCATTTCAAGAGACTCAAATTGGTAAAAAGCCTCCTGGAGTGTTCCAGACTTTGCTAGATGTTGTCTCGCATTTCAAGAGCACAAATAGCCCACAGAGCAGCTGTAAGTGCATAGCTTTTAGACATAATAAATGTAATCTGGAAGGAGTTTGCTTGCTTTGGTGTTTACTTTACATAGATTTGTAAATTTGTTGGGTTGGCTGGTGTTTACTTATTTATATTGTTCATTAAATTTTTGTACAAGCACAAGATGGTTTCATGAATTTTGCCATAATATAATGTTAGGCCTGTTGAATATTTGGATTTAGCTTGCTAATGAACTGGTAACTTAAATAGGAATAGGCATTCAAGCCATAATTCTTTATATGTTACACAAGTAGGGTGATAGAATTATTTACATTCCTCATCTGTTTGATTTGTTTTCTTTCAATCGCAATTATTCTTTTGATAATCTATTGGGGCACTGGCAAAGCTGCTGTGTTTATTAATATGACAGTGCAAGACTTAATAGATATATACATTGATAAGCTAATAAAGGTATTGGTACTATCATGTAATTATTGTTGAATCTCTTCATTTCATTGCAGTGCAAGGCTATCGTGTCCTTTGGACTGGCATGGGAGCTCAACTTGCTCGTGATGTACCCTTCTCTGCTATATGTTGGTCGACACTTGAACCAGTGAGTTTCCTTCCTAAATCCTTTGACATGAGAAGTTGTTTTTATTATTAGTCTTCTCTATTTTCTTATGCCAATTTACTATTGGCTTGCAGACTAGAAGAAAACTTCTTAATTTGGTTGGAGGCGATGATGCCACTGCATTAAGTGTTCTCGGGGCAAATTTTTCAGCTGGTTTTGTTGCTGGAACTATAGCAGCCGGAGCTACATGCCCGCTAGATGTTGCAAAAACTCGAAGGCAGATAGAGGTTTGTTTCTAAGTCACTTAAATTTCCCTGGTATTTTCTTTTACTCAAATGTGGGGGATATAGTTTTGTATGTATTTGCCTATTTGGTCTTATTCTAGGGTCATAATTTCTCCAAAACTTTGCAGAGGGATCCTGTTAGGGCATTGAAGATGTCAACGAGACAGACATTGATGGAGGTTTGGAGGTATGCCATAATTTGGATTCCAAATGTTATAATTTTGTCTTTCTCATTGTTTTATGATAGAAATTAGATGCCAAATGCCTTAACGGCCTAATTTTTTCTTTTCTTTTCCCCTCTATGATCTGTTGCATATATTTTGATTTGAGATGTATAGTGGGTGATACGCTTGATGCCAAAAGGGTTTTTACTTTTCTATCTCTAGTATTAATTTGTCGTCAGGGTGAACATTGTTTGAATTGATTAATATGTTATCAACATCTACAATACCTTTTATACCAAACTAATTGGAGTAATTGATTAATATGTTATAATGCTGATTATTTTTATGCTTTGTCCAAGCTGATTTTTCAATATCTTCTTTCAGAGATGGTGGCTTGAAGGGACTCTTTACAGGTCTTGGTCCGCGAGTTGGTCGAGCAGGTCCCTCCGTTGGAATTGTGGTTTCATTTTATGAAGTTGTAAAGTTTGTTCTACATAACCAGTACAATACATCGTGATGAGGTCCTTCTTATTCTGCTTGCTTATTTTTATTGCTGAAGCGACTTTTGTTTTGAATCTCTGGGAATTGCACAGCGAGGTTTTTGCTGAAGGGAAGTCATTTCAATCCGTTTCTGATCATGAACTAACATTCGTGAATAGGAAAATGACCAAGTATAGGATATGCTCTAGTTTAGGTTTTTGAGCTTTTTATTGTAATTTTGCTGCTTTTGCCCAGCAGAAATTTTGTTACACATGGGGTTCTCCCCTGAAAGTAAATTCTGAATAAAATTTGAATTTTTTTCAATATGCTACTGGGTGCTCTAAACATCACCATCACGCATGGGTAGCTATGAAGCACCGATTCCGACACGGCGTTTTTGATACGTTTTCAATACGTTCTCGATATGATCATTAATCCGTTGATACGATACAATACGTTTTCGATACGCGTATCCGATATGGTAGAAAAAAAATCGAAGTATTGGTGCTTCATAGACAGGTAGTACCTACACACATTAAGGAATGTTAACTGAATTGTCATTTGATTCTCTTAGGCGGGTTTAGGGGGGAACCCGTGGCGAGGGATCACATCAATGGGTTAAGACTATATTAACTATAGCAAGTGAGTCTGATATCATGTTTAAACCCAAAATTTTAAGGTATTGAGTTCATGGATCAATTCACTTATATTCACTTCACTTAGCCTATTACCAACCAATATGAGACTCATCACACTTTAATATTTCAACAATTTTTCCTTCAAATGTGAAACTCATCATTGGTATGCACCCGTCTCTGATACTACTGTCAAGTGAGTCTAGGGGAAGCCCGTGGCAAAGGACCACCACCAATGTACTAAGCTACTCCAACCCGGCTTTGATACCAGAGTCAGGCGAGTCTAGGGGAAGTCCGTGGAGGGGAACCACCATCAATGGGTTAAGCTACTCCAACCGTAGCAAGTGGGTCTGACACCACTGACATCACATTTCAACTCAAAACCTTAAGGCACGTTGGATTAATGGGTCCTTCCACTTATATATACTTGACTTAGCGCATTACCAACCAATATGAGACTCAGTCACACTTGAAAATATCTCAACAATCTCTCCCTCAACATTGGTATGCTGCTCTGATACTACTGTCAAGTGAGTCTAGGGGAAGCCCGTGGTAGGAGACCACCACCAATGTACTAAGCTACTCCAACCCGACTTTGATACCAGAGTCAGGCGAGTCTAGGGGAAACCCGTAGAGGGGAACCACCATCAATGGGTTAAGCTACTCCAACCGTAGCAAGTGGGTCTGACACCACTAACATCACATTTCAACTCAAAACCTTAAGGCACATTGGATTAATGGGTCCTTCCACTTATATATACTTGACTTAGCGCATTATCAATCAATATGGGACTCAGTCACACTTGAAAACATCCCAACAATCTCTCCCTCAACATTGGTATGCTCTCCCTCAACTGAGTAGCCTAGGTCCAAGTACTCATCCCGCCTCTAGCCATTCACTAGACTAGTTCATGGGTCCATCCGCTTATATTCACTTCACTTAATCCATTACCAACCAACGTGAGACTTATAACACTCGAATATTCCAACAGATTCTGTATGAACTTTTCATCAAGCTACTGTTTTATTTTTGGAAGAAATATGATACGAACCTTCGAAGAGCCTCATCCCAATAGTTAGCCCATGAGATAGGAGAGTTCAAAATCTATTTAAACTCCATACCAGATCCTTATGTTTTCGATGTGAGATTCAAATTTCATACCTTACAATTAAATCATAACATCTCTTCACGTTCCGCAATCCCGATGCCTACGTGGGTTTGGTTTTGTGCTAGTATTTTCTAGCCCTGGGCAAACACTGTAATGCCAGCGTTATCACCCGTGCCACTCAATTGTGACTGGAAACATAGTGGAAGATTATGATATTAATTGATAAGAACCTTGGGAGAGTCTCCCCCAAAAGTTAGCCCATGAGATATGAGAGTCTAAAGTCCATAAAATCTCAACACCAGACCTTTATGTTTCTGATATAGGACTCAAGTCTCATATCTTGCAATCGGATCTTAACAAAATACTAGTGAAATTTGGATGGTTATTCCTGCAAATTGAAGGAGGAATCTTCTGTTATTCGACCTTTTAAGGATAACTTCATGCTGGGTGAATAATAGTCATTCTGTTATAGGATTTGTCTCCTGTGGGTCAGCCTGTTGTCTCTGACAAAGTTGGAAACGATTTAATGTTCGCGTCACATGCGAAAGATTTACAGAAACCTTAGTTCTGAACTTCACGAGAAAATTTATGTATAGACAGGTTTAGCTCTTCTTAAGTCAGGTATAATTTAGAGATTAAAATATAGAATTATTATGTATTTGCATAACTATGAAGTTGTTAAAATTTACTCTAATTTTTTAATGGTTATAGCTTTGTCTTGCTCTTTAAAATACAAACCTCACATCCTAATCAAAACCTTGTTGAAAAAAGACAACGAAAACAGATATTAATTTTTTCTTGGCTTGGAAAAGTGGAAGTTCAAGCCCAGGGAAAAGAAACCCAAAGTACAAGTAACTTATTCTGGGAGTAGACTCTTAGTAACAGCCCGTTAGAGGAGGCACAACATCCCAAATAAGGAGAATATGATCCTAAGATAATCTTACGTTGACCAATGTATAAGCCCTTTGATCGCCTTCCTATAGATATGAGAAATTTCCCCCGTCCGTTCCCACATCTGCATCTTCATAATATGCTTGACAATTTGTCTGGTCTCATGGCTCGCCAAGTGATCTCTTCAACATGTGGTGACCTTTTGAGTCTAATTCTACATGAACTTTCTTGAATCCCAGCTTCCGTGCAAGTTGCAAGGTACCGTTTTGTTCACTTTGGCTGACACGTTAAACATTTTGATTTACATGTCTGATTAACCATTCGCTAAAATGATCTAACTATCATATTTAAAACCTTGCCTCAAGTAAATTTTTGAAAAATCTTTGAGGGCCAGAAGATGTACCTTTCTCCTCGAATGAGGATTAGTCTCATCCTTCTTTCAGTAACAAAACTTAATGCACCCGATGTTCCAATGAGGGGTAGCCTTCAGAGTCGTACTCCGAAGACAAGGTGATCAGATAAGTTTGAATGAAGATACTTTCAGATTATATAAAAAAAATAAAAATAATTTAACTAATAATTTATCTACAATTAGCCATAAATATGAAAGTACTCAATTTTAGTTTGCCAAATAGATTTGTGGCCAATATACATAAATTATTGGTCTATTTAATTTGGGAAATGATTAATTGAACATGTGAACCAAAATGTCAAACCAATAAAACTTTCATTTTCTCTTTAATCTTTCCCAAGCTCCCCACAATTCAGCCAGTATGGCACTAGTCATTTCCAAATTGCTAGAAAAACTTCTAATCCTTTGTCCCAAGTGAACACAACCGCGTCTTATGTAGGGGGACAGCGCTGTACATGTAAACATAGTTATTATTATTATTATTATTTTTTTTTGTACATTAGGAGTGAAAGGAAAAATGATGTCTGGCAGTAGTATCAATTTTCCAACTTCAATATCACTCCAAAGTTTTAAAAGACTAATAGGCGTCAATTAAACTACAAAAATATTTTCAATCACGACTCATTCCAATTATTATTATTTTTATAGTGAAATAGATAATCTTTTCTTACATCTTATCCTTAATCAACTCTTTTATTTTTGGTATGTGATCTCATTAACTATTTAAGGATTTTTGCCCATCAATATATATTTTTTTTCAAACCATAAATAGGCTTTCAAACCAGAGAAATTACTGCATTTTCTTTGAGAAATAATTTGCTGCAGTTTAGCAATGACAGTACTTGGGTTGAAAGACTGTTATAGTTCCTGCTTCCGTTCACATTTTTACCATATATTAAATTTTAAGAATAAATTGTAACAAATGAAAGTCTTAATTTTTTTAAAGCCTACCAATTACCCGGTATAAGTCTTTCGTGTTGGTGTATATACGTGGGTTTATTGGGTTGAATTTAATCAATTGGATAATTTGAACCAATTAAATTAATTTGTGTTACATTTAGTAAATGGTTTCTTTCGTGTCAAATTTGATTATCAATTATTATTGGTTTGATTCTTAGATCCATGTTTTTTCAACTTGACTTCAACTTCCAACTATATCAAAATTTTTTTAATGTTTAAGCTTTTAAAGTTGTGGGTTTAAAATTTAGTAATTAGATATCTCCTTTTCTTCTCTTTCTTATTCATTCATTTTGACACTAAATCAAATTCTTTACCAAAAGAAAAAGTCATTACCAAATTTTGTTATATTCAATATCAAACTTTGCCATCATATTTTGAATAAATAAATTAATAATAAACTCAGGAAAAATAATTATAAAAGAATTAAATGCTGGTAAAATGTAATATAATTATTTGGAATTAATTTAATTGATCACGAATTATGAAAGAGCAAGAAACTAATATTTTACATCATAAAAAATTAAAATCTAAATAAAAAATAAAATAAGGAGTAAAAAGAAAAATATAAAAATTGTGTTTTTAATTTAATCTAACAACTCGAATCAAATTAACTCGAGTTTAATTGATTAAAAATTTCAAAAACTAAACTAAACTAACCTAGTTAAATTTGATAATTAATTAATTTTTTATTCTGAACCCGAATCAAATTGCACCCATCAATATATATACCAAGCTGTAAAATGTTAAACATAACAAATTCACATTGAATGGTCATATAAATTAGACAAATGACAATTCCAAATCTGCTCGAATTACAAAAGGCCCTTGCAATGTCAGTTTTTTCAAGTGTGATTATTATTGGAAAGGATCAGGATCCCTTAATATTGGTGTCTAATCAGACCAATACAATATGGGCTGGTCAAATTGTATCAGGTCAAATCATACACGGTTGAAGTGAGAAGACTTTTGGGTAATCTGTTTTCTGGGCTGGGGGTTGTTGATGATGATGGGATGACTTTGGTTCTTCTTTAGCGCGATGATCCTGACTGGGGGTACCTGCAATGACACTCCGACGCTCAAGTCAGTATCAATGACAAGTTTATGTGTATTCTTTCTGAATTTGATGATAATACCTGGGCATGTACCCTCTGTTTACATAGTGGTTTTGATGCCGCCTTAGGAAGGCGGTAAGGCCTTTGATTGGCTGTTCAAGGGCTGCAAGTTCAGCCGGTGCTTCCATAGCCTTATCTCTTTATGTCAGGCTCTCCTGGTAGAGTGGTGGCAAGCTG